ATCCCAATGAATGTAATATGAAGGCATCACATATCACAAAGAAAATTGAAATTTTTATTTTTTGAGAATTCAACGGAGGGGGAGAGGATCCCTCACCTGCTTCATTTCAACATTAGTTTGCCCAAGAGGGCTGAATGGGTTCGAAATACATAAGTTTTCCGCGCCACCGCGCATCACAACTTCGCCTAGAGTTTAAATTGAAATTTTTATTTCATTGCATAATACCAACAATTCACCATTGCATTAGTAATGCAACACATTACAACCAAGTTATTTGGAGACGCACGGTGATAAGAATGATAAAATGCTACCTTTATTCTTCTCCTGTGCCTCAGCAACTGTGAGGTGTAGCAGCTCATTGTCCTTGCTGAGGGCATCGTTCTCACTCTTCTTTTCCTCCAATGCCGCCTTTAGTTTCCCATTCTCACCATCCTTTTCAGCAACGTAATTCTCGAGCTCCTCAATTTTTAGCTTCAGCTTGTTACCTTCAACCTTCTCAGACACTAGTGCTTTCTGGACTGAGATCTTCTCATCATTCAGGCGTGAATGCTTCGCATCAAGCTCGTTACAGGATGCTTGCAGCTGTGACACAGAAACGCGGATCTTCACCAGCTCATCCTTCAGCCTATCAGCCACGGCATCTTTGTTGCGCCCTACTTCCTCAGCAGCTTCCTTGCTGGCGTGGATTTCCTCTATCTTCCTCTTGAGGCTCTCTGCTTCCTTCATCAATTTGGCCTTCTCAGCGTCAAAAGACTTCACAGCTGTCTCCTTCGCCTCTGCCAATGCAGCCAAGTCCATCTTGAGGCGTTTCACCTCTAATTCAGACATGGCATGTTTCTGCTCTGCTATTAAAATCTCCAAACGAAGCTTATCCTTTTCTCCCTCCACCAAATCCTTCTTGGTTTGGATTTCCTCCACCTTCCTCTTAAGATCCCCCAATTCCTTCATGATTTTTGCTTTCTCGGCGTCAAATGCCTTTGCAGCCGCCTCCTTTGCCTCCACTAATGCACCCAATTCCATCTTAAGGCTCTTAGCCTCTGCTTCGGACATACTTCGTTTCTGCTCTGCGGTCAAAACCTCCAACCGAAGCTTGTCATTTTCACCCTCCAACAAATCCTTGTTGACCTGGAATTCCTCCACCTTCCTCTTAAGATCCTCTACTTCCTTCAGGATTTCTGCCTTCTCAGCATCAAACTCCTTCGCAAGAACCTCCTTGGCCTCCTCTACTGAACCCAATTCCATCTTGAGGCTCTTAACCTCTGCTTCAAATAGACTATGCTCCTGCTCTGCAGTCCAAATCTTCGATCGAAGCTCCTGATTTTGACTCTCCACCGAATCCTTGTTGGCCTGGATTTCCTCTATTTTCCTCTTAAGGTTGTCCATTTCCTTCATGACTTCTACCTTCTCAGCTTCAGATGCCTTTGCCGCTGCCTCCTTTGCCTCCACCAATGCACCCACTACTTGCTTAAGGCACTTAACCTCTACTTCAGACTGCCTACATTTCTCCTCCGCTGCGAAAACCTCGGACCGAAGCTTATCATTTTCTCCCTCCACTAAATCCTTGTTTCTTTGGATTTCCTTCAGCTTCCTCTTAAGCTCCTCTAACTCCTCGGTGATTTCTGCATTCTGTGCATCAAACGCCTTCGCGGCCGCCTCCTTCGCCTCCGCCAACCCACCTAGTTCCATCTTGAGCCTCTCAATCTCTGCTTCAGACATGTTGTGCTTTTCCTCTGCGATCAAAGCCTCCGACCGAAGCTTGTTGTTTTCACTCTCTACCAAATCCTTGATGGCCTGAGTTTCCTCCAGCCTCCTCTTGCAATCCTCTGATTCCAGGATGATTTTTGTTATCTCATAATTAAACTCATAGTCAGCTGCCTCTTTTGCCTCCGCCAGCGCGCCTAATTCCTTCTTCAGCCTCTCAACCTCTGCTTCAGACTTGCTACATTTTTCCTCTGCGACCAAAACCTCCGACCGAAGCTTATCATTTTCAGCCTTGAAGCTTCTCTCCACCTCTTCCTTGTGGCTTGAGATCGCCTTTGTCACCTCCAATTGCTTCTCCAGCCTGCCCTTCTCGCCGACCAGCTGGGTAATTTTGTGCTCCAGTTCCCACACCCTGTCCCCAAGTGTGGAGACCTGGTGCGATAGGGTCCTCACCCTATCATTTGTGAAGAGATCTGCAGCATTCATAGTGTACGTTTTAGAGGAGAGGGCTGGTACACACACACCAAGTACTGCACAGATAAAAAAAAGGAAAGTTGATGACTTGGCACACACCGGCAAACCAAGGCGCGGTCGGCGACGACATGTCGGTCGGCTGTCGCTGTTGTCACGGACTCGTCGGAGGAATGGAAGATGCCTAGCTGTCTCGCTGTGCACCAGCCAGAGTAGAGGAATATATACCTGCTGTCTGCTGAAGCTGCCTCAGCTGAGTAGGGTAATAACTGAATATATACAGAAGGAGGAGAGGATGAAGTGTCCATGACTCCATGAGCCAGAGGAAAGAAGCGTGGGGAGACAAGGGAAGGGATGGAGTGTGGGTGGAGAGGAGAGATGGAGTGTCGATGGTGGAAGAGGGATGGGTACATATAGGTTTTGTTTGGTATAAGAAGAACATTGAACAAGGTGGGCATATTCTGACTATCTAGCCAGTGGCCATTGCTACCAGTGCAAGAAAGGTGAAGAATCTCTGTGGCAAGAACGAATCAGTAGAATGCAGAAGGATGATGAAGAAAGAAACGAACGACCTCTCATGGAAAATTTAAAATTTAAAGCCGCAGAGATCGTTCATGAGTAACTGCAGTCGCAAGGCATCCTTTTCTTTTCTTTTCTTTTCTTTCCGCAACAGTGCTCGATCACATTATTCTTGTTGCTTCCGTTGCAAGAACTCAGAGGACTGAACGGTTAGATTCCTCGCAACTCCCAAGGTAATGTAGTACCAGTACCTCTTTTTCTCTTTTTTGTTAAAAAAGGAAACTGAAAAATCCTTGCATCGATCAATCTTCTTGCAGATTTATTTGAATGTTAGGCACCCTGCACGCACGCATCTAACACAATGGCTGTGCTTACTTGCTGCTTGGAATGGATGAACGGCTCCTTTGCCACCCCTTTTACTTTTTCTGATATTTTTCCCTTCTTTATTTATGGTTCCTGATCTGTAAACTCTTTGTTTGGCGAATTAGTGCTAATCACCACAATCTGAAAAGAGCTTTGCTGGTTATGGTCAATCTATGTACAAGTGTTCACATACGTACGGTTGACAAAATCATGTGATCATCACACATCAGCTAGCATCCTAGCATGACGACTTGGATGTTCTGTCAGCCTGAATGTTTCTGTAATGCACACTGGAATTTACTTGCTTCATGGTGGCATGCCAATGCCAGTGCTGGAGACAGATGATCCGAATGTTACTTTGTTTTGGCCGTCAGTTGTTATAGCTGCTTGCAATCAGACTCATGTGCTATTTTAGGTTAATATCTGAATCAAGTGTGTTTATGTGGCCGTTCATTCTCATGATCAAGAAATTCACCAATGCAGAAACCTGAGCAGTATATTCTAGCATTGGTATCTGAACCAAGTGGTAATATGCGTGTCAAATTTTTTAGCTCTCTGTCATTCTGAATGTGTAGTAATAATTTTCATAAGAATCTAAACTGCTCAGTGCAGAATGCACAGCATGTCAATGTGAACTCTCATATAAAAGACAGAGTATAGCTGGAGATAATTCGGGTAAAAGAAGGCTAGAGGATGAAACATGCTTTATTTTATTGTGAGGGGGAATCTGAACATCAAATGCTATTTGATTCTGTGGTAGCTCTGAAATCTGGTTTATTTTTTCTTATATGGTCACTGTTAGTCTAGGTAGTAATTTCGAATCAATTGCGAAATGTGGGGTAATATGGTTAGTTCAGCGGGTCTTTTAGGGCTATGGAATCCAAAAATGGCATGTGCTTTCCCAGAGAAGGATGGAGAAATATGCTGGCGCTGTGGAAGAAAACCATTCCAATGGTGAATAACTCCAGGATTTTATGTCATCACTAACACGGAATCAATGCAGCTGGGAAGTTGGAGGTACTGTTGGCAAGACAGGAGGGAATGGAACGATGGGTTTTAGCAACCTGGTACAGTGGAAGGGCCTCCTGCTAAAGAGGAAATCAGAGACTCCAGAGTTATAGGACGATATCAGAGGCCAAGAGTTCTGAAAGCTATGGCATGGACTTTGAGGCGTAGTGATATTGGTTGATGTTGATGCAGCTTGGAAGATGAATTCACAGGAAGCACAAGCATTATTTGCAGCTTCGTGACTTGTATAACTGGATAATTTCTACTTTTGGAGCTTAAACTGCCGTGACGTGGGCAGATGGGTTTCCCCTTTTTGTTAGTGCTGTAAACGTAATATCGTTTCTGTTCATTCTCATGTAGCCCAAGTCTGCTTATAACATGTAGCTCAAGTCTGCTTATAACATGTCCGCTATCTGTAATGGATATTACTGCAGAATCCACCGTCTGTTTGTTCTCACGGCATCAATCATCACAAGACAATTCAGATAACTTCACAAATTCTGATCTCGACACAGGTATCTTGTTTTATCTTTTGCTTGAATCATGTTCGAATCGACACAGTTATATGAGCAACTAGCTGGAGAGGGGGAGAGATTAAGAAAGATATGAACTCTGTTATTGTAACAAGCACTCCTCTGTTCTTAAGATTCCTAATCTGAACCCTTCCCATGCTTGCTCCTGCCTCTATTCTCTTCCTATCGCTGGTGCTAACAATTGGTATCAGATTCTTCGATCTATTCCCCTTCAGCCATCTTCTGATTTCTCCAACTTTCTCGATTAGTTGAGCACCGGTAACAGCCTCAGGTTGTCGAGCTCGATTTGGTTTTTCCGGATCTGAGTTCCGTAATTCCTAGCGCACACTAGCACTCGGATTCGAGCGATTGCGCGCTGGATCGCAGCCCGCCTCCACCGCCACCACCACCACCGCCGCATCCGCACTACACCCGCTTCACTCGTAGCCGCGGCGCCATGAATCCTGAGTCAAAGCTTCTCCTTGACGAGATGAATCGCCTTTTCGCCGAGCAGAAGACCCAAATCGAGAAGGGTTCGAGGAATCCGACTGCAAGCTCGAGGATCGCTTCATCGACAGCCACAACAAGTTCGAGCTGCGGTTTGCCACCGTCGACGACAACATCACCAAGCGCATCACGGAGGTCGACGACACCTTCTCCAAATGGTTCGACGAATCGGACCTCAACTGGGAGCGTCGCATGCGGCAGATCTCTCTCATCTCCGAGTCGGAGCAACGCCAAGATGCTCTCGTCGCTCCCATCACGCAGGCGGCGGGCGAGTTGCAGAGCTAGCGCCAGGAGTCCGAGGGTGTCGTGCATGATCTCAAGCTGAAGGTGGACAAACTCACCAAATACTGGGATCGATCGCTCCTCGACAACGCTTCGGCGTCGACAGGCGTGATCTCCCACGTCCCACCTTCGTCGGAGCAGACCGCCGCGCGTCCTTCTGCGGGTACTACGGCTGCTCAGCCCAACGAGCACCACGTCGAAACGATGCCACGGGTCGATGGGGTTGGGGCAAGCTTCCCCAGCTCCATTGCCCGGCCAATGGTACGCACCCTGAACCCCTTCCAAATTCTTCCCTGTATCATGGGGTAGCATATGAGAATCAGACCCGAAACTATCATTCTGATAACCACCACACTGACAATGGTCGCATGCCTAAGATGAATTTCCCTACATATGAAGGGGAATACACTAGGTTGTGGGTTCAGCAAGCTGAGGATTATTTTGACATGTATGATGTCCCTCTTCATAGATGGGTCAAGGTTTCCCGTATGAATTTCCATGGTGCTGCTGCACGTTGGATAGAATCCTTAGCTCAACCTGATCGCATACCTTGGCCTGATTTCTGTAAACAGCTCCATGATCATTTTGGCCGGGATCAGCATGAACGCTTTTCCACTCTCTTTGATCAGCTTAAGTCCTATGAAGCCAATCCTGATCTTCATTATTATACAACTCGCTTTTTTTATGGTCTTCGGGCTGATATTCGGGTGGTAGTTACTTTACAACGTCCTGCCAACCTCGATACTGCGTATCTGCTTGCTCTGTTACAGGAAGAAGTGGGCGATTCTGCCAAGAAGTTTGAATTCCACGTGTCTGACCGTGGAGCAAGTGCCAAGGGCCATGGCCGTCCTGCATTGCCGTTGCCACGGCCACTTCCTCAAGCCGTCGCCGAGAAGCCGGTGACTAAAGCTCCAGTGTCAGTTTCTGAAGATAAGATGACAGCATTACGCTCTTATCGCCGAGCTCGGGGCTTGTGTGACTTCTGTGCCGAGAAGTGGTTTCGTGGTCATAAATGTGCCCCTACTATACCATTGCATGCAATGCAGGAGATATGGAATTTATTTCAGCGGGAAGCCTGTCGTGTAACATCCTAAATTTTGCATGATTTTAAAATAGGTGAATTTGATTTAATTATGTATTTTATGAGCATGCAAATTTAAAAAAAATAAAAACTTTGTTAAAATTAAAAATCAAATATAAGGCTTACCTACATTTGTGCATTCATGCTGATGCATATTTATTTTTGAGATGCTTGGGTTTGATCAAAATTTGTAAAATGATTTAAATTTGAATTTAAATTGGATTTGAAATTGTGTTTGAGAAAATAGAAAAGAAATTCTTCTTCTCCCTCTCACTCTCTTTTGGCCTGGCCCAGCTCTTTTTCTTTCCTGCGCAGACCAGCAGCCCAGCGGCCAGGTCGGCCCACTCCCACCTTCCCCCGCTCGGGCAACTTGTTTTTCTTCCCGTGGCCCAGTAGCTGACCCTCTCCTCCTTCGCCTTGCGTGGCCCAACTAGGCCCAAGTCGCATCGGCCCAGCCAGTCGCGTCACTGCGCCGCGCCTCCTTCCCACCCGCAGTCGCTGCCAGGCCGGCCCCACTCGTCAGCGCCGTTCTTCTTCCTTCCCGCGCGAGACCAAGTCGGTCACGACCGCCGCCTCCGACTCCACCGTTGTTACGCCTCCTCCTTGCCGTGGAGCCCAAGGCTCCCCACCCCCATAAATAGCAGCCGCCGACCCCGCCGCTCTTCCTATTCTGTTTTGAGCAACAGTGCCTCGCAGAGACGCCGCGCGCCGAACCCTAGCTTCCGCCGCCGCACGCCGCGCCGCCGATTCGGCGCGTCACCGCCACGGTAAGCCTCTGGCCGAGTTTCACCAAGCGCCATAGAAGGTCCCACATTCATTTTCCCTCTTTTCCTTCCTCTCTCTTGCTCGCTGTGTGCCACCGGATTTTGCAGAGCCCCGCCGTCCCGAGCCCCTGCTCACCTTTGCTTGCTCGCTGCTGTCTCTGAACCCATAGTCAAGATAGTAGTCATCTCCTCTTCCTCCCTATGTACTTGATTTGGCCGATTAAGCCCGGAATCGGTAGAATGATGAACGCGCTGCGAGGTCCCCTGCTTATTCCGGCCATGCGCTGCCGGCTCACCGCCGGCAACGTCTTCTAATCCCGGCCGCTCAGATTCAATCCGACGATCGAGATTGTGTGGTACCCCTTCGCTGCGATTCTTTCAAAAGAACCCTGTCTTTTCCAAATTTTGATCCCGACGTCCCTACAGTTTTTCTAAAGAGCCCCTGTACTTCTTTATCATGCCCGCAGTCCCTGGCCTGAATTTAAAATCTGATTTTATTTATTTTAAATCAAAATTGAGTTCTATTTATTTACAAAATTACCACTATCTTCATTAGGTCATATCTTCTCCGTTTTAACTCCTATTTGACTCATTCAAGTTGCGTTAGATTCGTAACGACATAATCTATGCATTAGTATCAATGTTTTCCATGTCAAGAGCTCTGGAGTTTCATAGTTTAAATCCTAACTTGAATAATGATTATGCAATTGGATTTTTATAATTAAAAGTAACTTAGGGTTTTTCACCTCTGTCTTTTGTCAATAAAACAAGCAATCTTATATTGGTTTTCTAATACCAATATCATTTGGCTTAAAACAATTTAGATATTTCTCTGGAGTATCTTATATATGTTTTATAATTAAAATAAATAAAGCCTATAGTTTCTTTTCGAAGCAAATCTATCGGTAGATGTATCTTTTTCACCGTAGCTCCGATTAGAGTGCTTTTTGCTTATGTGTATTCATAGTAACGTGTAGAACATCTTTAAAACCTTTTTACTTACTGTTTCATATGTTTGGTGTACTGTTCTAATTTAGTTCTATTGTTTGTTTCGTGTATGATTGCATGGATGCTTGTGTGGTGTTCTATGATCACGTCCAGTCGGTGAGCTATACGTGGTGAATCAAGAAGTAGATCTTTGAAGGTTTGGACTAGAAAAGGATCTAAGTTTAAGGCAAGTATAGCATGGGATCTTACTTGTTGTCCTATTTACCTTAATATCATTTTAATTCATGCTACATGTGTCTACCTTGACTACCACTAAGGATATCCTAGTCTTTTGTACTTGTACCTTGATACCTATGGGGTGTTGTATTGGGTAGTATGATACTAGTGCTAAACTAAAGTCATAATCTTGTAACTTGACTAATGATATATGCAATAAATACTAAAAGATGTTTTTTAGCAATATAGAATCAGGGGGCTAGAGCATTGGGCTGTTTTTATGGTGCTCTAGATTCCTCTCCTAAAGGACTTATCTATAAGTGATCATCCGAGACTTAAAGTGCAACTGTGAGGGCTACATGGCTCTGGCTTTAGCTCAGTATGAGGACCTTTTCTAGCTTGTTAGAGGTTATCTTTATTGGCGTAAGAATGGCTTGACGAATTGGGTATAGTGCGGCCTCTGTCCCCTTGAGTATAGGCTGCGCGTCATTGTGCCATCGGGGAAGGGGGTTCTACATCTGTTTGTCCAGTAAATCTAATGGCTCTAACTTGTTAGACGAACCTTTGAAAGGCTTCATAGTAAACCGTGCCTGCTCACCTTGGAAGTGTTTTGAGATTTATAAACCCGGGCATATGGGTATCACGACTCATAGTGAAAGTGTACAACCTCTGCAGAGGGTAAAACTGGTATATCAGCCGTGCTCACGGTCACGAGCGGCCTTGGAATATTTACGGAATAGATGATGAACACTGATGATAAAGATGCTCACTAATGATTACTGTTTATGCTATTCATTATTCATGTTTATCTGATCATGTGTTTATATGGGCTTATGAATAAACTTGTTGCCACTCAATTGTTAAAAGATGACTCATTAAAAGCTCATTGTCGTTAAACCAGTGTCGGCCTTTTGAGCCTCATGAACCCCATGTTATATTTGTTGATTACGACATGTACTTACGCTTGCTTTACTTTTTAAATATTTGGATAAAAATTCCGGATGGGTACCAGATTGCTAGAGTTTGGAGGAATTAGGCTTGTGATCAACCAGTCAGTTGTTTCTGTAGAATTGGAGTCTTCACTCAAAGATCGGAGTTGTCTTTCCGCTGTTTGCTACCTAAGGTTATATTTTTTATACTAAGTACGTTATATATTGAGCATTGTCTTTTGATATTACTCTTATTTGTAGGTATATGTGAGATTTGATTTCGTGGACTCACATATGGTGTGTATCTGGTTTTATTCTTAAAACCGGATGCTACATGTCTGAACCTCAGTCTGAACATATTGACAACCCTGAAACTCCTGATGAGCAGTTGTTCCTGGCTATCTCTCATGAAGCTCAGCGGGGTTCTCATGGGCGTCGAACTATTCAGTTCCTTGTTTCGGTCAGTAACATACCAGTGACAGTTTTCGTGGACTCGGGCAGTTCAGCTTCTTTTCTGGCCACTTCCATTGCTGATCAGTTATCTCATCTGCCATGAACTCCGTTACAAGCTTCTGTCAAGATTGCTAACGGTCACATATTACATTGTACCACAGCAATTCTGGGATGTCAGTTTAGCCTGGGTGATCATTCTTTTCAGCATGACTTGCGGATCTTGCCATTGGACTCCTATGATTTGATCCTTGGCATGGATTGGCTGGAGTTGTTTAGTCGGAAGGAGGTGCACTGGAAGGCTAAATGGTTATCTCTGCCCTACAATGGCACTACTGTATTCTTACAAGGTCTCACTGCATCCAGTGATGAGGACATGGTTTTTCAGATAGTAGCTGTGGAAAATACGGACACACCCGGAGCTGAGGCTGCGTTACCACCTAAAATATCTGCTTTGCTCGCTGAGTTTGCTGCAGTCTTCACAGTGCCGTCCTCCTTGCCGCCAAAGCGTTCCTGTGATCATGCAATACCACTCATCAGTGGCGCCACTCCAGTAAATATAAGAGCCTACCGCTACCCTCCAAGTCTCAAGGATGAAATCGAGCGGCAGGTTAACACCATGCTCGAGCAAGGTCTGATTTAGCCGAACAAATCACCATTTTCATCGCCGGTGCTTTCGGTACATAAAAAAGATGGAACCTGGCGATTTTGCGTCGATTACAGATATCTTAATGCAATGACTGTGAAGTCTGTCTACCTGATTCCCATCTTTGATCAGTTGGTAGATGAATTGGGCTCGGCATCCTGGTTTTCAATTCTGGACCTTCATTCCGGATACCATCAAATTCGTCTTCAGCCCGGCGAGGAGTATAAGACGGCTTTCTCCACTCACGCGGGCCATTTCGAATTTTGTGTGGTTCCGTTCGGTGCAACAGGCGCCCCTGCAACTTTTCAGGGTGCTACGAATTCAACCCTGGCACCACTATTACGACGATGCGCGTTGGTGTTTTTCGATGATATTCTGGTTTACAGCTCGTCATATGCCGAACATTTGGAGCATTTGCATCAGGTCCTTACTCTGTTGGCCCGGGATCAGTGGGTGGTTAAGCTTA